ATTGGACGCAGAAAAATAAGAGAGAAAAACAACACACTAAAATATTCTAAAGATCTCAATTAAGTATTTAAATACTCAAACACTTCTTACTGGTAACCGGTCGGCTGGTTGTGGTCGATGTTGTAACTATTGAAACAGCTGTGACTTCACATGTCGGTAATGTAGTCCCCACAGAAACTGTGTTAAAAGAAACAGTAGTCTCTGGAGCAGAAGAAGTGGACTGTCTAAATAAATAACTATGTTGTGGACAAGATGCCATTTCAGCAATCAAATCAGTAGACATATAAGTTGCACCATTTGAATTGGATCTTTCAGTTAGAACAGTTAATGGAAGAATAGCTGATACAGATGGATTTGTAATCTTTGAACAATTGAAAGCACATTTTCAAAAATAAAATAAAGAACTATTTGAAAACGTGATTGAGTTTTAATTCGAAAGGAGAGTGAAATATGAAAATAATTTACATACCTTAGCGTTTTCACAACCTTATCATACGAGGTTTCGTTGATAGTAAGCAGTCGATTTCAAATACATAGGATTCAATATGAGCATTTAGGTATCATATCAAATCAAGAATATTAGTATTTGTGTGGAAAGATCGAAATACAGCATAGCTGAAACGTTAACGATCTCACAGTTCTAATTATCATCATATTCAAATTCTCAACTAAAATATGAAACTAATATCAAAAGGGGGGTATTTTCAACAAACTGAACAAAATGTCATCAAACTACAATAAACATGACGTGAAGAAAGATGTTTGTAAATAGAGGAGGTCACATAAACTCTACTTTTGTTTGTTTGGTTAAATAATATGACGTTACCACAACTGACAAATTCCATTTATGAAAGCGGGTTGATGAGATAAGAAAAATTGTTTGATATAGCCCTCTCCACGTTATTTGAATGGTGCCATACAAACTCAGACTCGCCTGTTAGCAAAGTCTCATTTCCACTTAGTACAGGCAAAAGTGGTTGGTGAAATACAAGTGATTACCCTTCTTACAGTAACTCCACCTGCAGCCCATCTAGGGTTATGGTGTGCTCTAAGCCCGGATAAAGGTTTCGTAATGGGATCAGCGACCTCATCTCGTAGGAAACAATCTTGATAAAATTATCCTAGCCTTATTACAATCATATGACAGCTCTTCACAAAAAATTTAAATTGGTTAGCTTCTTAATGATGGATCTTATTTGACAAGAAGCTGGTAAGTTCAAAAATATTTGTTTAAAGCCTCCTGCAACTTAGATTTTCTTTAAAAATTTAGTCTTTTAAAGTTGTATCACTTCAGTTTGTCTTGGTATTTTTGCTAGTTTTATAATCTAGGTTAATAAATTCTAAATGGTCTACGCTACATATAATCAATGTGACGACATCATTATATTAGGAGTTTATGGAATAAATTATTTTAATTTTTAACCAATCTACAGCAATCAGTCTAATTATTTGTCCTATCATAATCCTAAACCCTTCTAATTTTTGATACTCGATAATAAGTTGTTAATTCTAACACTTTGTATCTTTTGCACTTAATCTTCATTAAGCAAACAACTTACCGACACACTTTTACAAACCATTTATTTATTGATTTATCTGGACGCTGCCTCTCAAGTCATTAGGTAATTTTTTTATGATACAGGTCAATGACATAAAACCAGCATATGCTTCAACAATCAACTTCACATTATTACCATGGGAAGTTTGTGTACATAATTCAATTTTAAGGTAGTCCACATTCTTTATGGACTCCAGCTAGATAAACAGAGAAAACCAGAAGGCAATAGATAACTTGTTTAATAATATGGGGCTCATTAGTAGAGCATAGCCGTGATTTCTCCAAGTAACAAAATTCGGATCTTGGGATGTTAGGGGAAGTCATGTTATCTTCATACCACTGGGTAAGCAACCGTTACACGTTAAATAACTAAGGATATCGTTTGAGCATTTTTAAATCTGTGAAATTACAACGATTTTTTACTCAAGAGAACTTGTTTCCAAACGGAGACTTATAAAAGATTCACAAAGTTATAAGCAGTCCATTCCATAATGAGGTTTCATCAATACTTATACAATCCACTAAAATCCGTCTAAAGTACAAAACATATGTGCAAAACGATCACTCAGAATCACGTACTTAAAATGAAAAGAAATCAAAACTTTGGATACACATTATGAATCACATTTCATAAGTGGTTATGTACAAAATCCTGGAAGTATAAAATAGAACTCAAAATGACAATTAACTGTAACTTACAACTGATAGTTTGTATTTTTCACTTACTTGTGAGGTCAGCGACTTTAAAAATGTGGAGCTTGTTGATTTAGGAATGATACCACTACTACTAATTACCGGTTGTATAACTTGCACATCAGAACTACCAGAAGCCGGATAAAATGGATGTGATAGAAAAAATGCGTTTGTTTGAGCTCCAGCTGTAAAGCTTGTACTACCTTCAGAGTCTGAAAGAATACCGCTTGTTTCATCTGAACCATGACCAGGTATATAATGATTAAGGATTTGATGAGAATCGCACGACACAGGAATTACACTTGATGGAATTGAAAATGATGGCATATAACCGATACTTGAAGTTGTCATTAATTCTCCCGAAGCACCCGACATAGAATTACTGACATACAGGGGAACTGCATTGGCAACTTTAATGATGAAAAAAATAAACACAAGCAAAAAACCCACAAAATCCTAAAACAACCACATAGTAATCGAAAGTATAATTTAAAAATCAAAGAAGTTCATAATTGTACGTTCTAGATCTCATAGGTCAAAAAATAAGGGCTTTATAAAGTGAAAAAGGAAGCGATCAATAAATATATGATTTAATAAGTGGAATACGAAACTCATAGTAAATATCAGTAATTCGGAAGCAATAGTACTAATGAAGAGATAATAATTCGATCAATGAATTGATAGTTCACATTTTTAACGTTAAATCTGACATAAGTTTCAAAAGTGTTGTAAAATACTTTATTTTCTAGATAAGCTATGATTACAGCATTACTACAATCTCTACATGTTTGCACAAGGAGTTTATTCATTGACAAAGACCATAAGCCAGTATCAGGAGTAATTAAGATAAAACTCTAGTAAATAATTTACGTGATTAGCAATAGGCAAATTTTCTTTAAATCCCTATAGACATTACCTCAGCCGAAGTTCAAATGCGACACAAGTGTGAATTTTTTGGTTGCAACGTTGAAATTCTCATTTCCACAAAATATCGCATCTTTAAAATAAATGAATTTTGGTTCCTAGATTTCATAAAGGTTTCATGAACCTTGTGTACAACATAACTAACCTATAATAATATGAAATAGTGTAATTGGCTTGATATACAACGGATTATAGTGGATTGATTTTATTCAGTACTATAAAGTAGAATACAGTACTGACTGGTAATCAGCAATCAAAAAATTCAGCTAAGAGTGATATATATATACAGTAACAATCAATGATATTAAGATTTAAACATGACTATAGCTAATCAGGTCACATCAAAGGTCATTGAGGAAATATGAGTTATAAAAATGTTATGGAGATGATCATTTAGAAAAAGGAACTAACAATGAATAACAGAAGCTAAATTGCTAGACGGCTTCCTAAAAGAACCACACTCAAAAGTATTTCAGAAAACCAGTTTTTCAAATAATTTTCTTAAAATATGTGAAAATTTAAAACAGCATTTCTAATAAAATCATAGATTGACCAATGTAAGACCACGACTGAAAATCTTGATGCACTGAATGATCGTTTTACTCTAGTAAGAGACTCCTTAATGGAGAACATCCACGATCCCACACATGGGAATCGAATACAAGACTCACTGTCTCGTGCCTTAACTCTTAACCGGTAGACAACTCAGTCAGCATCCAGTGGCTCGATTCCCGAACGCGGAGTCATGGATTCTCACTTCTAAGCTCCATACTAGAACGAAACGGCTATCCAGTACTTCCAGGTTTTCAATGGTGGTCTAACATTAGGCGGTTCATGTTTTCAATGAAATTCCCTATACTTACATGACATTTTTATCAACAAACGATAATGAAAAACAGTTTATTTTGGGCATGAATTTCATATTTAACCACAAATGTATACTGAGTCAAAGGTTAATTAATTAATGGAGCCATCTATTTTTAAACGAAAGACTTTTGTGAATTAGTTAAATAATAAAAGCGTGATAAACTGAACTTACTTCCAGTAGACATTGTCCCAACAGATTTACTAGACAATAATTCAGGGAGTGTTGTTATAACATTGAATTGGTTACTTTCATTCATACCGCCTTCACATTCCTCATTAATAGTTTTAACTGGTTGACTTGTTCGAATTAACAGAACTGATGGATTTAAAGATACTAATGCACCACTGGGTAAAGTATGCGCTGTAGTCATTACCGCTTCACTATGAACTTGGGTAATTTGATTTACACCAATCTTATTATTCAGAGGAGTTCTTGAACGTGACATTGTAGCTAGAACAGACTCATCGAGAAATTCCTTAGCAACATGACGTCTTGAAGGAAGTGTTCTCAAGCGCAAAGAACTTGTAGCTATAGAATTAAAATAAAATATTCAAAATTAGTATTTACCTAAGTATAGACTAGAAATGTTTCAATTCGATATTTGTGGAGATTTATCTTTACTTTGAATTGATCATGCTAATTCACCTTAAGGAAATGCTTTCATTGATGCGTCAAAAAACTGAAATATACAATGAATATGCCTTAATTGCTATAAACTTGATCCTAGCAAAGTCATATGATTTGAAAAGTGAAACATTAACAATCAGGTATTATAGAGGACTCGAAAATTACATGAGGAATGAAACAATTTAAGCAATTGCACTTTTCGTCAGGATCTGAAAATTAATATTGTCTCTATCTAATATGAACAATTTTGTATAAAAATGACTTCTAACAACCATTAATTCTACTCTCAAGCTTATATGATTAAGGGGATTCAAACAACGGATGTTTATGGCATTCAAATTCACATTTTTTATATCACTAGAGAATCCATGAACAAAATATATGAATATGTGATGCATTCATGAATATGGAATGGTATTTCATCTATGACAAGTAACTAATACAAGTTAAACATTTGACTTGTGATTCAAGAAATTTATTAATAGTTCCGCGCTATTATTTTTATTTGCACAAGACATGACCTTAAAATTTGATATTGTGGTGTTTCATGAAAGGAATATGTCATAAAAAACGTTTTATCACAGAAAACGAACGCTTTTCGTTCTTATTGAATCTCATGGTCTTCTATGTGAATAAATCAAGTTTCAAAATCTCTAAATAACTATAGGTAATAACTAGACGCGACATTACATTTCCGAACAAATGAGAAACCATCTACTGTGAACTGTGAAGTTAGATGCACTTTCATTTACCTAGAGTTTTTGGTGTACTGGAAGTATCCACATTTTGAACAGATCCCATAACAAGCGGATGATCTTCTTTAATATGTAATCCATCTAACGCAACTTTTTGTTCACAGCTTACGACAAATGGTTTAGCTAATTTCACATAGGTAACGGATGGATTTATATTCCCACTGCTAGAATCTGGAAGAAGACCTGCAATAACACCATTCGAAGAATTAGCTGATAATAATATTGGTGTGCCAATAATTGTCCCATCTGGTAATCGATCTAAATCCGAAGTCACATTATTGTTATTGTTTCCAGTATTCCTCATTTCACCAGCTGCCACAACATAACGTGGTAATGGATAGTTTGCCGGTAGAATAGTCGTTAGTGCTGAAACGTTTAATTGTGGATTGTTTCCAATAGAAACAGTGGCATACGCTACAGTCGGTGAGACGTAAACCTGTCATATGTATACAAAAATATGGGGTTAATAATCATTCCATAAGAGTGGATCTGTTGGGTTTGTTATATTGACGAATATTGTAGATAAGGAAAAAATGTGAGTCGCGTCATGAAATTTACTCAAGAAAACTAGGAGTTGATGATTTTATTCCATGAAAGTGGAGTTATCAGTTAATGAGTGGCATTTAAGGCATATATGAAGTAGTGTACACCACGTATAACTATACAACTCTGATAATGATCAGCAAAAACAAATTCCAAAGTTAGACAATGATAAACTAACTTGTCTTAAACGTTATGCAATAATGGTCGTGTGTAAGAGACTGCTTGACTTAATGAATGAACAAACCTCTGCTTCACAGACCATCAAACTTCTTGCAGTAAATTCTTACTGAATTCAAAATAAGCAAAACAACTTTGTAAATTGCAAGTGTCAAAGGAGATTTCAAGAGCATTATACATAACCTTTAATTGTAACATATCTACCATTTAAATCAACCGTCTAGAGTTTATATTTATTGAACCTTATTAATTAAATTATGGAAGAAGTAACATACATAGCTAGGGATATTTTAAACAAGTGTGGCTGATCCATAGATTCTAGCTAGCACTATGTATCTGGGTATTTTGGGCATCCCATCATTACTTTCGATATCTTAAAGAGACAAACGATCACCCTCAAAATCCAATATTGTTATTACAACGCCAAATTATTTGGACCATAAACATTGTTTTCGGTGACAAATGGTCATTCTCTGGTCAATGTTATGATTATTATCATTACCATACTCATAGCCCTGAAAATCCTTCTCAGCTTAACTAGTTAAACATTGGTAAGATATTTCGTTTTCAAGTTAACGTATGTTAATATAAGCATAATTAGTCTTGACATATAAAAATTTCACATTTACTTAAAAACAAGAAGTTTAAGGCTATGGTGAAGTACTACTCAGCGAATAATAAACTGGTCACAGTACCTTTTCGTAAACCCTGTGTCAGACATTCGGATATATAGGAGATCGCAAACTGATCTAACTTGCAAATGTAGACCTTTGGATTCGAATTCCGTGGTATAACAATACTGCTTGCTCATCACAATACCAAGAGGTCCTATGTCTGATCTCTAATGTGGTGATAAGGATCTCTTGCCGAGGAGCCTTAAACAAGGACAAAATAACTCAGTTCCGAAGATTCATTGGTGTCTCACTAGCTGGTGGTACTTTCGTAACGAAAACCATCATTATTTACAGACAAGAGTTTACTTTTTCTATTTCAACCAACCATAATCAGCGTCTTAGGGGTTTTAAATATCTAATATGAATATTCCTTGAATTATCTGTACAAAAATACCTTCTGCAAGTTTGTGAATTTATGTTAAACCCCATTAGTTTTAGGACAGAAGATAGACGCATTGTTTTGTCATACGAAAAACTTAGAAAATTACTTGATGATTAACTGTCGAAAATGCTTTATGATTTTAAATGGATCAACCGCAAATATCTGGATGATAAATGAAATGTGAAGAAAAAACCAGTGACAAATATAGCCGAATTCAATCAGTTTTTATTATTATTATTATTATTATTATTATTATTATTATTATTATTATTATTGTTATTTTTATTGTCATTAACACAAAGTATCTGTATTGATATCGACTATCAGTAGTCATATGTTGTAATTTTATGTGTTTGGATATATGCTAAAAGTCGATTATTATAAATCATATGAATTCGAAATACTGAAAGTCATTTTTTATCCAAAAATGTCATACGGATGCATCAACTTTAGGTTTCTGATAACAGTTAAGAAAACGTTGCGAAAAATGTCGATTCTTTGAAAGTCATATCTTTAAACAAGTCTGATCAAGGTGAACTCCCACTCAAATCATGCTTTGTGATACAGTGAATAACGGCTACTTTTATGATGTACATATTGTATCACATTGAAAGATTTCATCTATAAATCAACCACTAGAAGCACTAAATGAATGACAATTCAGTAAGCATTCATCGTTTCGTTCCAAATGGAAAATTAAGATAAAATACCAAATTCAGAAAATCAGCATTCAGTTTCTACATGGTGACAAGAAGTGAATGAATTTATAAGCGTAATAACTAATAATTTATCATTTATTATTTTGATGGAGTTTTAGTCATGTCATGGTTGATAATTAAGGGCTTGAGATAGCTCAAGTCTTGTCAATCCTTATGGAGAGGAAATAGTTACTCAGGGTTTCTCAGTTGATTATAAACATGATCTTTAAGACTCTTCTCAATATGACACAATTAATTATTGTCATCATTACTACTGTACAAAAGTAAAAAAAGCTTACATGTGCTTTTGTTTGATTGTTATTTTCAGATCTTGAATGTGGAGTTGATATTAATTCAATCAATTCGCACTGATTTCCAGAATTTGTAGATATATTAGCTACATTGACGTTTGATGCAGATTCAGCTGATTTCTTCCTTGAATCTTTCTTCTCTTCGTCTACTAAACCATCCTGATAAAATATAGTATTTAGGAAACACATAAGAGAATATTGTTATTATTTCGATTTAATTAACTGTTTGATAGTTTGTGATGTATAGTTTGGTCATCAACTATAACATGTAACAATCAATTGGGAATAGTAGAAACTGACTAAACTGAATAGCCATTGCAGTAGTAAGATAGTTGGATTTGATTTTACCAAACACTTATATCATCTGTAAACTCTTTTACAACCTAGAAACACTCTGTAGATTTATCAGCTCTTAAACAGGACTTCACAAAACTGTTCGTTTAAGACCCTACACTTGACTAAAGCTAACTTCAAGTTCCGCAATCGTCCTCATGATGTATATTTCATAATCAACATGGGAAAAATGTCGTTTAGCACAATTTCACAATAAGATCCACATCGACATGCATATGGCGACCAACAGATATTTTCCAATCTATTTCAATAGAAAACATTGATGCTACCATTCATAATTCTAAAAAACATTAGAGATTTTAATAATCTTGACAGTAGTACATGCAGTATTCTAATGGACACAATAAATAATTAATAACTAAAATCATTAATGCTAATAATAACAATAGTAACTGAAAATGTATAACTAGAAACAACATACAATTTCATGCTGTGTATTTTATTCTAATAAGATACTCAAAATAAGACCAAAATAGTAATGAATTAATGAACATTTGTTAGACACTAAGTACAACTTTAGTTAGAAAAATATCTATGAAGATGATTTGTAACAAAATTTAACATTCAAAAACAGTAAACAGTTTTGGTCAACAAAAACGAAATCATCATAGAGCTTCATATCATTCAATGTTTGTAATAGAATATCCCAATGGTCAAATGAATTTTTGACAAAAAAAAGTGTAAATAAGTGTTATCTGATGTGAAAATGATGTAAACAGTAGACGACAAGTAGATTAAACTGTTATTAATCACGTCAGATTCTAGACACATGCAATAGCACGGTAGATAAAATACAAATGTCATATAAAGTGCTAGGAAATTGTGACCAAATAAAATAAGTTATTTCTGATATTTAACCTCTAATGACTAAAAAGACTGAATGAGTGAGGTTCAATTGTGCAAGTACAATTATGACGTAAATGATTAGCCTTAAAGTGAAGAAAAAAATCAAACTAAGATGGTTTTCAGTTCATTGGCAAATTAACTTAAACAACAACAATAAATGTTTCTACGCTTTCAAAACAATTGATATTTTTTATTATAGGGTGTTATGGAGGTTGCTAGATTCCAGTTTGTTTCACAAATTGTTGTTAGTTAAACAACTACTGAAAGCAACGGAAAGCTACTTTTTCCTAATAGGAGATTCCTTAGTAGTGGTTTGCATGTAAACCATTGAATAGCAACAGTGTGCCAAGGATTGGATACTCGTTACAAAGTCTAAGAATCTCCAGTTTGATCACCGGTGGGGTAGTGAATGAACACCACTGAGGAGTTCCATGCAAGTGTTTCCCAGTTTTCATTTACAATTTTCATTAACATCAGTCCCTAGTGTAAACTGTGAAATCAAGGTTTCACTTTTTGAAAATTCTCTTGTACATACAACATAACAACACCAAAGAATATGAATTTATGCATAAACAGCACTTCATACGTTCAAAAAATTAAAAGTCACCAGACATGTAACAACATAAATAAATAAATAAATATTGAATTGTATTATTATCAGTGCATAAATTACCTCATGTTTCAAAGAAATATAGTAAACTAGGTTAAAAGAGAAAAAATAAATCACATTTTCAATTTGTGGTCATTTATTTTTTGAATGCTTATTTTAGATTCATTAAACTAAGTCTGCATGGGTAGTAGAATTATAACAATCCCTAATAGCAACTGATAACCATGGTATCTTAAACGTCTGTTTAAATTTCGTAGCCTCTTAAAGAGTTTGACTATTAAACAATTATTTTAAAATCCACTAGGAATAAGAACATCCATTGAAATAATGATCCATAAAGTAGACAAACTTGGATTGTTGTATATTTGTATGTGCGAAAGATTGGTACTTTTTTACCTAGCAATCAGCATTTGAATCAAAAAGCGTTTTCGCCAAAAAATTTTACTCATAAAAAGTGTGTTATGTCTTCAATGAAACAGATAAAATCTAGGGTTGTATATACATTTTTCGACTTAATATGAATCTTTCCATAATGAGGGGTTACATCTATGATGAACATTATCTGATCTAGTAAGTAAACAGTTATTTGTGAGCATTTTTACGTTGGGATTAAGACTCCCAGTAGCATTCAGGTTGTGTTCTGTTCTATTCGGAACACTTCAACTGGACATACCTGCATCCTGTCTTATTCTTTAAATAAAGATTTGAATTTGGTACCTTTCGTTTCAAGCGCTAAGGGGTCACCAAGTGTGTTGTTGAGTTTAAATACTTATAACTTGCTTGACAGGAATGAAGTTACTAGAAGTTGTTTATGACTTCCCGTTGTTGAAACTCAGAGATCCAACTGATCAGTCTCTACATGAACATAAATATTTGAACACAAGTATGTCCAGCTGAGTCCCATTTAGTATGAAACTTAAGTCTTGGAGCCCAGCGTTAGTGACAATTCAAATATAGTGAAACATATGACAGAAGTTATATCAAGGCAACCCTTCCATGATGCACATATGACAAGAAGAATCGACCAATTTCAGCCTAAAATTTCCGCACAGTGAAATCACAAGTCAATGCTGATTGTTTGAAAGGTTGGCTATTTACACTGGTTCGCTTTCACGTCATATCTCCGAATTTCTTAAACGGAAATGTCAAGTAATGTTCAATCAGTTTTAAACTATGAGGATTTTAAAATGTAAGTTCCGTTATCAGAAATATTTTATATGTCAGGGATACCATATTGTTTCTTTGTCAGATTGGTTATTTATAAAAGTATCTACCATTCAACGATTCAATTATTCTTAAAATGAATAATTTCACATTCTGTAGTTTAAATGTTAGACAAAACTTATTCAACAATTTTCTGGAAATTAACAAAATTAAAAACTTAGCAATATGATTTGAAGGTATCTCCCTTTCTTATTTTTGAGAAATGATAGATCACAAGGTAGAAACTATTGCCAATAGATTTTAAAAGCTTTTAGCAATCGACTAAGGTAGTTTCAAGGACAATGAATGGATGCTTTCCATTAGTGGTTTTATTCATGGTTATGCTAGTCAGAGCCATTCGTTGACATTTATTATTGGAGGCTTAAAGAGTTTCAATCTAGAAAATGATTTATTTCATAGATCGTTCTTGAATTAATTATTCAAAGTTGTTAAAAATTCAAATATCATTTTCGGATGGCTTCACTAGCCCTCAACATCAAAAGGCGATGATATATAGCTGTACTTCATAATCGGTACAGGCTCTTTAATACAGTGGTATGAATGATGATGAAGAATAAAATTCTATCGTACAGTCACACGTTTATAAGCGCTTTCAGAGATACATTATTCACTGCTCTAAATAGCGAGGGGGGATCCTACAAAGCAACAGAGCCAAAGCGAACTTTTAATCTAGACTCAGAGTAGCCATTTATAGGAGTAGAGAAACATCGGATTCAAACAAATGGAAGCTGTAGGCCGAAGGATTTTAGTGAAATGAATGACATTTGAACTTAATTGGTTACTGACTTATAATAAATCGTACCTCTTGTGTTTCAGTGTAATTTTGGCTTACAAGTTAGAGAAACGGTCTCTGAAGAAGAAGAAGCCAGTATCACATTAAGCACCTGAACAATATTTAAAAAAAACGTCTAATGGAAAAAGCAGACTCCGAAATATTTAAGGGGTATTTCCATCCAAATATTCACTTCGTACAAACGTTTACCAGGAGTTCAAGTTCAAATAAATGCCTATACTCCATGTTATTTAACTAGATTACAATCATTATGTATAGAATTTATCTTAGTCAAGTTTTATTGCCATTTCCCATTTAGTAAATTCATCATCATTTCTAATAAATTAGAAGAAAAGCCTAAACATGTAGACAACTTACCAGCATCTGTAATACCTAAATCAATTGGTATTTTATAACTTTTAGTCCACCAACAAGAAAATATAATAGAAACGACAAATACAACTAGAACAAGGGATATAATTGTAACGCATAACAGTTGTAAATAGATTTTCTCTTCTTCACCATCATTACGATGAGCTGGAGATGAAAACTGTGGATACTGAAAATAATTTTTTTCAAAGAGTAAAGATTAGACCACACACAAAGTGCATTATTTTCAAAAATCAGAAACAAATACTTCTTAGCACAAGGTTTCAGTAAATGAATAAAAAATATTTAACGTTCAATGATTTCATGTGTTATTCTAATCATTTACTTTCTTAAAAGGGAAGTATTTTCAAGAACTAATTCAAGTTCATATTATTGTTATCATAGCGGCAGATATTTTAGTTCGTACATAATAGGATAGAACTTGACATAATTTTATAGTTATATCCCATTAGATTGAAAACTCAGTACGAAAAGAACAACTATCAAGTCAGATTAGATTAAATAAGAAACTTCAGATACCTTTGACTGCTTCACATAGTCAATTACTTCAAAGAAGTTCGAATTAATTTTGTAGACAATTCTATTCATCACAACATAATCTGTGAGGAAAATGAGTGAGTAAAGGTGATACTTCGATTGTGATCCACATAATAATGGAGGATAATTTATTAAATGCATACAACTTTAATTTCAAATAAAGCGTAATATTTGATTCTCTTAGGAAATAATGGTAATAGCAGTCAGTAAACACATCTAGGTAATAGCAATATCATAGAAAAGCAATGTTATCAAAAAAATTTCACTGCTCCGATTAAATTTTCTGGAACAGATTTTAAGAAACACGACCTTAATCGCTAATTTTTGGGAAAGGGCAATCGCACTGTTCTCATAAAACAAAAGAGACCCAACAAATCCCTCGTAGAAAATTCACTGATACTGTGGTGTGTGCTACTTATATTGACGTAAGTAGTATATGATGTTCGTCGTGAACATAAGGTCTGGCAGCAGAGGGACAAGAGGATCGAACAGTAAAGAATAGAAACAGGATGCAATTTGTATGAAAATGCAAGAACAATGAAGTCTGAGTCACTTTGGGACAATTGATGGACATTTTGCAAATTAGGCATTTACTTTGTGATTGCTAAATTTTATTCACAAGTCCTGTAAGTTTGTGTTAAATACATTCGACTGTCCCCACTGGTGTTCTTGTTCACTACAATACAATTGAAATAGGTATGAAATGTTTTGACGTTATAGATGGTAAATAAAGAGCAATCTATGTTTGAAATTTTCAACAACTTTTTCTAGACTTTTTAAGTTATGATAGATGAAGTAATTTAAGTTTATTTATGTTACAATCGAATACTAATTGTATTTACAATAAAGAAACGTTTCCACTGACCGGGTAGATATCAGTTTGAGATAAGTTATTTGGACAATTGAAGAGTCTATCTTGAAATTCATTCCCACTCTGCCGACGGAAAATAAATATTTGCCAAGAATAATCACCATGTAACTATAAATAGCATAGCTATGTCGACCAATGGAGTCATGGTGAACCATTATAAATAAAAATATCTGTTTCATCAGTGTGTCTAAACTGGGAGTTTACGTATTCAATCAGTTTCCAAAATGTCCTCTACATTCTGTACATATACACAAATACGACGTGAAAAATGTCTGTAATACTAAGAATATTCTCACAAAGTTAAATGCGTAGGAAATATTGTTGCATCAAAACATACCAGTTCAACAAAAAGTGAATCTTCTGTACTTCTTAGACGATATTTCAATCTTTCTTGATCACTTAAGTGACTACCAGTTATATTAATAAGTATCTGGAATTTGTCTACAGGAGATTCAGAAATTTCTACTGTACCCTATAAGATAAAAAGTAAATAGGTTTGTAGAATTTAAAATCCACTTAATGCTTTATTGATACAGATTACATGCTATCATTACAAAGAATCATGAGTTCTTTAGGAGTTAAACGAAACTACAATATTTACAAAATGACTTTTAAATTTTATTCTAGGAACTTTGTTGAAGTACCCTAATATGATACCATCAAATGAGTGATGAGTTTATAAGATAATGAGCGCTTCATGTGTGATGAAAATACGATAATCGATTTTAAATGGATTTTATCAGAGACATCGAGTGAATGTTTTATGTCTATCCGTCTATCACGCTACCTGTATACTAATTCACATGTTTGTACCCAGAAACCTTGGATGTATTTATCTGAAACTTTGAATTTTGAAAGTCTATGGTGAATAGAACCAAGTTCCAAAAACGTTCAGGTGTTACTCAATTCATTCATACTAAGATAATACTGGTATGGGTTGTAAAACGTTTTTGTCTAATAAACCAACACTGATTAGCCTAAAAGTGCAGAGATCCAATGTATTTCCGAAAAAATTCATCTTCTGTCGAAATAAACGATAAAATCTAGTTTAATACACAGATGTATATATGTCTATGTACATCTAAAATAAGCATACTATATTCTTGTAAAAGCAGTAGCGTACCACTTTATTGCATTAGTAAAGTGAAGTAAGTACATCAAGGAGCTTCAATTAAATGAGCTAAAGTAGGAAATGTTAAACATTGGCTTTTTTCTGATTGACTAAGTCAATAAGTACAGAACAAACCTGTATTTGTCTGGGCAGATATTTTCCTATCGAGTAATTAACAAGCGGAATTCTTTGCTACAACATGTAGTCACAGTTTTATCTGTTGACGAATTGAAAACAAATTTAGACAAACTGATCCGTTCTCGTCTCTAGGACCACAAAAAGCTTGTATCATTCTAAAACTGACAGTGAGATTAAAGCACACCATATCATGTAGTAAATAAATGAACGATATTTAACAATTAAACGGCAGATCAGTTATATCATGTGTAAAATTCATAATGCATTAGGAGCTGCATAAATGCAATAAAAGATTCTGATTCAGAAGCCAAAACATGTCGTTATTTGGCTTCAAACCAGACATAACTATGCATAAACAAAGACTAAAAGCATATTCAAATGAAGATTGGAAATTTCAAAATCGTGGAGGACTACATTCGTAACAAATGAGAACTAGTGAAATAAATTAAGTCTCTAGAATAAAAGCCAGTGAAACCGTTCAACATACAGGTGTCAAAAGTATTCTGAGTTTGGTAACACCCTAATCAGTAACATTTTTTAAAATCAAAACGTACCAATCCAGTAAAATCAGGAGTCAGAATCGAAGAGGCTCGAAGATATATTTGATAGAATATTGACATATCGATAAGTAACTAGTCTAAACTGACCAGTGGTTGTAGGAGAAGTCAAGCAAGGTGCACTCACTAGTGATCTGATGCGGATGAATGACCGATCGCCTTCAGCTAGGTGAGCCCATTAAAACTAACGCGACCAGCATAAAATGCCAAAGACTTACAGAGCTATTGATTTCGAGGATTTATTTACCACTAGAAATCGAACACCTTGTTACAATAGTGCAAAATCATACGATACCATCCATCAATACACCGGTCTTAACACTTAGGAACTTGTAAATATTAAAACCAATACAGCGATGTTTCTGCAACTATATAAATTATCAGGTAACTACATTTAGTATTCTTACGTTTCAACTAGCCATATTCAGTCAAGAAAAAAACATGAGTTACACCGAAGAACACCTTACGACAGACATATTTTAGAATGACGCAAAGATACTTGCAAGATCTCCGGGTAAAAACGAAACTGTTTTCAAATTTCACGATGGGAACTTACCTCATACGGATTCTGAAGAATAAGGTCCCAGGACCAGCTGAGTGGTAATCTTGACAATAACTCAGGCTGGTCGATGAGGATGAGATCATTGAAGTCTCCTGATTTGACTAAGTAAATTCTAAGTAAGTAATATCATAGATGTTTAATCAAAATAAGTGTTACCTTAAAATAAAAAGACAGAAAGTAAAAATAACCATATTATGGGACGTAAAATCTACGGAATGGGCGTGATAAACATTAAGGAAAGTTAAGCGGTGATTTGTAGATATGGAACAGTTTACTTTTCATTTGAGGGTAAGTTGTGTACCGAGGGGGTGTGCTGAGAATTATTGAAATCTGTAAACATAAAAAGTCAAAAAATAAAAAAAATTACCTCATTTTATTAGGTAAAACCACAATCAACAGTACGTTTTAATGAAGGCGTGATATTGTGACATTTTAATAACAAAAACTAAGGTTAACATAATAAGACATTGAATACAGAGTAGATTTTCAAATGTAGCTCATTAATGAGGCCGAATAAACCGACTAGGTAAAACAAATTCTTAGTCCAAAAATGTAAAGCAATGAATAATAGGATTTGTTAGGTTCTATTTTCAACGGTTTCAAAAAATAAAAGGTTTGTATTCTTATTGTATATATTGTTTCGCCGAATAGTTGAGAAGGATAAGCAATTCGGAGCTCTTGATGTTCGAAAAGATTTCTTAACTGATATACAGATTTTATTCACTCAACTTTAGTTGTAATTTGACATGAAAAGAAGATAAAAGAGTCACTTTTCGGCAACAAAAGCTAGTCTAGTTAGTCAGTAATCTGACTACCTTCCAACATCCAATACCAGTCGTGCTTGTGATGAGGCATTTAGCGCTTAAACTCCAAGGTATGACTTTTAGTGAATAGCTCTTATTCTTAAATGGTTGTAGATGATTCTCCAGCAGTATTCTAGATCCGACAATTTTTGAGTGAAAACCTTGGATTTTAATGAGATGCTTGTATCTATGACTTACGCCGGAGCACTATGATTTTTGTGAGTGGTAAACAATACCTTCCGGGAAGAATATGTATTGTATAAACAAACATGAACAAAATGCTACAAAAACGATGGAATCGGATTCAACTGTTTCTTAAATATAAGAAGGTTTCTATTTACAATCCCTATTGCCTACGGTTGAACTAATCACAACCAATTTCCTTTGCAAGTGTGCAAGACAGCAGTTAGCTATTATTTCTTCAACAAGCATCAAATCTAATTTTTGGTACAAATCTAAAAATTGTGGGATATTTCTCTGCGCAGGTGAACTATCCAGTTGCTTAGTAACATCCCTTGATCACATTCGTTCCTTTTGCTTTCGCTACTCTGATTCCCAAACCATGAAAAGCTACTACATTAGATCTAAATGACTGAGCTGTGAACTCGAGGAATCCAAGTAGCGTACCAACCATACTAACGACTGAATTTAACCCCACATCTACAGCACACAGACCATAAGGCATGACGTTATCGGTATCAACAATAGTGAAATATTTTCTAATTTGCACTAGATGAACAAGTACAGATGAAAAGAATGATAACCAAAATAAGAATGTAACTTTCAGCCTTTGGTAGGTCCACGTCTCGCCTGAATGAACTTTGTGTGCTCAGGGAGTGTTAGGATCTCTAAATGAGATTATGTGGGAGAGAAATGAATGAGAAAAAAGTGGATCGACGACTCCAAGCACAGAGAATAATGGAAAAAATCGACAGCAATTATATATAACATAAACGTAAGACTAAGACAGTTTGGTAATCGAAATTAGAAGTCGACAGCCCAAGCATTTGATTGTGTCTCAGGATGTTTATTCAAGTAATTGAATTGTCTAGCATATGCAGTAGCGGTAAACAATCAATCTGTAATCATATTGAATGAATACAACTAAACTTAAATACTGGTAGCATTGGATTAGCACCAGATTTAGACCCCATTGTGATTGAATAAGATTTTTATTGACTGTGGTACATCGAATCATCAGCATTTATATTAGAATAGAAATTGTACTGACAATAGGTGCCTAGTAATTGTATTGTGGTAAAATAAATCAAGGACGTCATTTTACTAGTTCAAACCGAATCGTATTGAAATGCATCCAAATTTCTGTTGTCAATTAGTAGACGTGCCTCAAGTATTTATTCATCAATAAGACAAGAGAATGTTAATTACAAGCAAAAGGACAGGTGATGAAACAAAAGCATATAAAGACTCACGTGCAATGCATTTGAGTTTGCCATACAGTTGAGGACAAACTAAAGAACTAAAACATCTGACAGTTACATGCTCAGATATCGTATTCCAAAATGAGCGTATGGTTATACACATTTAACCTGTCCGTAATAAACACCATAAATACTCACTAAATGAGAAACGTTACTCTCACACTTTTCACAAACACAGTGTAGTAAAACAACACGATACGTTGGAAAGGACCTTTGACTAAAAATTAATGATTACTTGGTTAATCCAGCCAATAATTTTGTTTGAACAGTTGATGTTTTTCGAAAGCTAACTGAGTGGAAAATTTATCCTCATCTAATTATTAAATTGAGTTACACACTACACCAGGTAAGATCAAATGTATCAATCAGAATTCGGAAGGAAGAATATTTCTAGTTACAAATAACATTGTATACGAATTCCAGAAAACTAAGCCAAATCAGTAATCAAACTGGTGTCTTTTAGAATCTTACAAGCAGTAATGATCGTTCGTTAGAGAACTCTGGACTAAAAGTAAGGACTTGTTGGGTAGAAATAAATTTAGAATCGGTTTTATTAATTGTGTTAAAAATGTAATAGTGCTCTGATCTCATAAATAATATATTATTCCTCAGAATTACAAGCAATAAACCTCAGAAAGTCAATTGTAGAAATAAAGAAGAGGAAAGGAATCCACATGTTTCAGTCATTAAGCTGTATCTCTACTTGACCATAATCAGTTACCAATCATGCATCAGTATCTGAACAAATATGGCCAATAAGCAACACACTGATTGTGCAGTTATATATTTTATGCTGTGTTTAAGCCTACCACGATAATGCAGATACTTCCTTACTGAGTACTTAGAGTGTGAGTTCTTGATTGTTTCTTGTGGAAGTTCTAGACTTATTCAGATAAGCACTATCTCGTTATGTTATTTTGAAGTCACAAAAAAGTAGCCGAAACAGTCCCAAAAATTCTCAAACCCCCTGTGTTTATTACTATAAAGAATGTTTGTGTTACTAAACGCCACATCACCTGTCCCTTTAGCTGCGGCAGAATCAAACCTAATCAGTAGGAATGCTCAAACTTCGAACATTGTTTGTAGTGCCAATATCATTATGCAAACACTGGCATATATGCATTACATAAGGACCTAACGACAACCACATTCGTCTTGCCGTAACTTAGGTTTCTTCCTACGTTTTCATTTGTAAGGTAAAGGTGTAATTTATTGTAACTACTGTATTAACGTTTAAGGCTACACTTGCTTTTATGTGTTATCTCCATTACTGCTGTTCGATTAATGCAAGCTTTTTAATGGTAAAATAAATCACGAGCCAATTCGAAATTGTGTATATACAGCCTCTAATATAGACTCTGTTTAGAGGAATAGAAACAAATGTAAGGGTGATAAAAAGAACACAATTGAGAGAAAATCAACTGTTTTGTAACATGTGATTCCCTATTATATTTAGACAGAAGTGCTTAAGAGTTTTATTTACATACCATTGGTTAATTGGCAGAATATATGTATTTGTAAAAACGCTATCAAAAAGTGCGGTTACGCTGAATCGCACTACAATGGACGTACTTTGATGCAACCTACAACGCGAGATATATCTTTCGTCAGCGAACGTGCTGGTGGCCAGTCTTTATCACTTTTTGCCACTGGCATTTTCTCTTCCCTGAAGGCAAGCGTAGCAACCAAATGGTTCGATTAATTTAACATCACTCTTTTGGAAACTAAACTCAGTGTAGATCGCCAACGTTCATAATCTGCACCATCTACGGATTAGACTTCAGTCTCACGTCCAGGTCAGAAGACCACACTGCCCGCGACTTTGGATGAGATTGCAGACTCGTGACGTACGAACAACACTACCGTCTCACGTTCCGGTTGCCGAGCACGCTTACCCGTACGCTTTCGCGACTTTCCAAACAGTAAACAACGGACACGGTATTGGACTCTATCACTATACTTCATGCATGATACACCTTTTCTCTTTCTTTGATTTTTTTGTATCCTGAACCCACGCCTCCGACCATCGCCCGTTTGGTACCGTCGACTTCAGTCAATTTTGTCGAAAGCTGGCCTGATCACCTATGCTCTTGTCAACGCACTCAGTCGATGCTCTGGTTTCGAATCCGTCTGGCATATTGTTGATCACGCAATTGGTTGTTATGATCGCTTCTGATTCCTTGACTCAACGTGGTTCCGTCCTACGTCTGCAGAGTGATAAGGTCCTTCCTGAGGCTGTTACAAAGGTTTGCGTACCAAATCTACACGTATGAAAACATATGAACAGATAGATAACTCTCGTACCAATTGTTGTTTTCGTGTGGTCGAAGAGCACTTTTAAGTTGGTGACGAAACGAACTAAAACATTTGATGGTGGGTGGTAGGTGGTAGTGCGTATGCGTTCCATACCAAGCAGGCAGATCAGTGAGGAGAATAATGCGGACTCGGATTGTTGTCTTCCACCGGTCATGATAGTCGAGGGACAACCGGACAGCGCTATCCATCGCTCTACGAAGCGGTGAGAAACTGTCTCCGCCCTAATAGACGTGATAGGTATAGCTTCGGGCCATCTTGTGAAACGATCGATGCACGTGAGCATGTGATCATACCCGTGCGATGGTGGCAGTGGTCCCACAATGTCTATATCGACGTAATCAAAGCGAGCATCAGGCTTAGTGAACATGCCGATGGGGGCAGCTACGTGTTTGTGCACATTTTATCGTTGACATTGAAAGCATTGCTTTACCCACATACGGACATCTTTATTCATGGACGGCCAGACGCATCGTGCAGCGATGAGACGTAATGTAGCTGCGATACCTGGATGAGACAATCCATGCAGGGCACCGAAGACGAGACAACGGTAAGCAGAGGGTACGATGGGTCGGGGAAGACCGGTCGAAGTATCACATAGGATAGTATCTGAGGTAGTAGCTAGGGGCACTCTCTGGCGCTGAAGGGATGTAGATTGTGATGCTTCTGCACAAAAGGGATAGTTTGCTTGCGCGGGAGCCATAGAAGTAAGATCGAGCACCGGTGGAGTAACTGCATTCACTTGGATAAGTGACAAAGCATCGGCAACATAGTCCGACTCGCCTTTAACGTGACGAAGGTCTGTCGTGAACTGAGAGATATAATCCAAATGTCTGCATTCTTGTGGTGAGTAGCGGTCAGATTTGGTACGTAGAGCATACGTTAAAGGCTTATGGTCGGTGAATAAGATGAAATCACGACCTTCTACTGA